ATTAGCAAAGTATAAATTTCCACAGTGCAGAGAATCATCTCCCTGGCCCTCACACCAGCCAGCACTGACTGGCCCTTCCCCTGGTCCTGTTTTCCTCCTCTTCCTCCTGCCCTGAGCCCCAGGTAACTCCATCACAATGACCACTCCCCTAGCTATCCCAGCAGGGTGCTCACCTCACTGCCCAGGGGCTCCCAGAGGCTGGTGGCTTGTCCAGGAATAGCAGTTCCTTCTCGGAGAACCAGAGAGGTCAGCCAGACCCAGTCACCAGGCCAGCAGACAAGTGGAGGTGGGCGGGGAGTCACAGTAGGTGGGGCCTGATATTTCCCGTCACAGAGACCTGCCTCCCAGTCACTCTAAAGTAGAGTGGAAGAGGCTGTCCCCGTCTGCTGGCAAAGTCCAGCCAAGATAGGGAAATAGTCAGCCTACTAGACTAGGTCTGGAAGAGAGGAGAGAGGAAAGGAGAGAGTCTGGGCACATGTGCAGCACCTTGCAACCCCTACCAACAGTGTCCTCTGCTGGTCTATGGCAGACCCAGCCAGAGGCTATTAAAATCAGGCTTCAAACCAGTTTATTCATGAACAAAACAGAAACAGACCCTAATTTTTTAAATTCTGGTAATCCAGAATGATAACTGGAACAGGAAAAATTACATGTTGGAGCCTAGGAATGGGAGAATTGGGAGAGGCATAGTGAGTCCTTTCAAGAGCCTGATACAAGAGATTGGATTATTGGCAAGACTGAAGAGTGACACATATTCAGAGAGGTGTGGTTGTCCACCATCTCTGAGCTGGGCACCACTGTTTCCCACTCTGCTCAAAATCCAATGGGCAAGAGATTTGTTTGACTGCCGTGCAACACGTATGGTGCTCTTGTTTTCTAAGAGGGAGATTATGTTTTTAGCAGGGCTTAGACCCATAATTTTTTTCCATTCTGGTTATCATTCCAATTCACCAAAATTTTTAAAATTAGGATCTGTTCCAGTTTCGCTTCCTCAGCCATGACTGAACCTGCAAGAACCAGTTCAAAGCCCTGGTTAAAATGGCAGAAGGAAAAGGAAGGAGGCAACCTTCCCCAGAGCTTCTCAAACTATAACATGCATACAGATCACCCGAGGAACTTGTTAAATGCAAGTTCTGATTCCTAAGGTCTGGGGTGTGGCCTGAAAATCTGCATCCCTAAGAAGCTCCCAGGTGCTGCCAGTGCAGCTGGTCTAGGAAGCTTGACAATACCTGTTGTTGTTGTTGTTGTTGTTGTTATGTGCCATCGAGTCCGACCCGACTCATAGCGACCCCTCCTTGGGTTTCCAAGGTGGTATCACTACGGAAGTTGGATTGCCCCATCTTCCTTCTGAGGAGTGGCTGGTGGGTTTGAACCGCCAGCCTTCTGGTTAGCAGTCAAGTGCCTTAGGCACTATGCTACCAGAGTTCCCGTTTCCCTCTAGAGAGTCACTGAGAGGGTTAATGACTCATAAATCAAGTTGCTGGCAGCATTGGGATTTAGCATAGAGGCTAAGGCACTTGACTGCTAACCAGAAGGCTGGCGGTTCAAACCCACCAGCCACTCCTCGGAAGGAAGGTTGGGCAATGCTACTTCCGTAGTGATACTGCCTCGGAAACCCAAGGAGGGGTCGCTATGAGTCGGGCCGACTCGACGGCATATAACAACTAACAACAACAGCTTCCTACTCATGCTTTCCACTCACCACATTTGGCACTCAGAGTTGGCAGGAGACACTGCCACTTGGGGGAACTTGAACTTTGGGGCCATTTGTTAGCCTGAGTGCTTAGACACTCTGCCTAGGAAGACAGTCACTAGAAACAAGAAGCTCCCTGCAGGGAGGGTTGCTTCTCTTCAGCTGTTTGATGTTATATGTTTAGTTCCTGATGTAGCCTGATACATAGTTGTTCAATAAGGACTTGTTGAATGAATTAATGGACCCACTGAAAGGAAAGAACATGCATTTTGGAGCCAGATTGCCAATACTGAGCCCAGGTGACCCACCTGTTGAGTATGTAACTTTGAGCAAGTTACTTAGTCTCTCTGTTATAGATTAAATTGGGTTACCAAAAAAGAAATGTGTAAGTTCTAACCCGTGTACCTGTAAATACGACCCTGTTTGGAAATAGGAATTTTCTGTTGTTATGTTAATGAGGTCATACCAAAGTAGGGTGGGTCCTAAACTCGCTTCTGAGTGGTGTCTTATAAAAAGAGCAGAATAGACATGGACACACACACAGAGGTAAGACAGATGCCTTGTGAGGACCAATCTACAAGCAAAGGAATGCCAAGGGTCACTGGCAGACACCAGAAACTCAGAGAGAGGCTAACAGAAAGAATTGACAGAGCTGAGACCCTGATTTGGATGTTTAACCTCCAGAACTATAAGAAAATAAATTTCTGTTCTTTAAAACCACCCACTTGTGGTACTTTTTGTTACAGCACCACTAGGCAACTGAGACACCTTCTGAGCCTCAATTTTCTTTAAAGGCAGATAATAGTATCTACCAGGCATGGGTTAGTAATTATTATTGAGCTAATAAATGTAAAGCATCTACCAAAAAATGGGTGCTCAGTAAATGGTCATTTTTATCTCCATGGTCTGCCTCCTACAGTTGAGGAACAATTGGTGAACAACCCCAGCCCCCAATTATCATCTCTCATAGAAAATAAGTAACTGCCACTGTTTTGATCTCAGTTAATGATTTCCTAGCTTCTTGTTCCTGACTGGAACCCCCTGCCCTCTGCTTCCTCCCCTGGTGGAGGTGAGACAGTGGGATAAATACCTCCCAAGGGATCCCAAAGTACTTTCCCCAAAATAGTGAGATGTGTCAAAGAAATGGATGGGGTGCAGCCAGCTTCTAGGAAAGGGACCTCATGCCTGAAGGATGAGCAAGGAAGGGTACCTCAGAATTTTGGTCATGATGGAGGAGGGAAGGTATAAGTCTTTGTTGGGCAAAGCTCTGTCTGAGTCACACAGGCTGCTTTGTCCTCTGAGTCATGAAGTCCTAGAGATTTATAAAAGATCAGTCAAGCTAGAGTTCCAAGCTTGGGTGGGTCATGCCAACTAGGAGGCTATGACCAGGAGCTGTATCTATGTGTCATGAATTCATTTCCAAAGCTGGTACTTGCCTCACTTAGGGATAATCCCAGTAATAAGAAGGCTCTGGGGAAATCTGAGCACCCTCACCATCACCCCCATGGACACAAAGCTCGTGCACAGGGATGTAGAGACCGCAGGCATCAGTAGCCTTGTAGCCTGGGGCTGAGCTGTGTCAGGAGATCAGAGTCTCCCAGTGCTAAAGCCTCAACAGTTCCATCAAGGGGCTCCCCCCAGAGGCCAGGCACCATGAACAGCCTAGCAGGCCAGGGGTCTCCTGCCAAGAGGAATCTGAAGTGGGGTATCCAGGCAGCTCTCTGGCTGCCCCAGCTAGTGTCACCACCCTTATCATTGGAAGAAGGCAGGCCAGCTGGGAGTCCCACTCCACCCTTCTTCTTGTCCCCCACCCTCCTCTGCCTTCTACACATCTATATCATCAGGCACTTGTCTAGGAGGTGTGCTGCCTGAGGTAAGAGGAGTGGAAGGTCTGGGAGGAAGGACGTGCTGGGAGGAGTGGGTAAGAGGAGAAAAGAAGATGGGGAAGGTAAGAGTTGGAGGTGGCCTCCAACACTGGATAGAAAATAGAAGAAACAGAGAGAGACATAGGAAGGCAAATGAGCAAACAGATAGGAGGGGCAGACAAACAACCAGAAAGATGCACAGGCAGACAGGCCGGTCAGCCCTGTCCCAAGAACCTCTAGGATATGGTTCAGGACATTCGAAAGGAAAGGGTGAATTAGAATTCCAGGACACTGAAAATAACAGGAGATTTTTTCCCCCCTTTCCTCCAAACCCTTGTCAATCAGGAGCAGGAGGCTGAAATATTATGTGCAAATGAGATTAATGTTATTGGGTGGGGTCTTTGGTTGGCAGAGGGTCTGTGCACTGTCCCATATGCAAATGGAACATTGCGGCTTTTTAAATCAAAGGCTAGGTTTGTTTCCTTTAGAAGTTAAGCCACAAGAAATCTAGACCCTTGAGTTTGTGGCCTGACCCTGTGGAAGTGGGGAGATGTAGGGGGAATCTCATTCAGCCCCTGAGGCTCCGGGAGGAGAAGGGAGTTAAGCCCTCAGAGAAAGGCACCCACAGAAACACTCAGCTGAGTATGAATTTAGTGGGAGAAAAGGCTGAGTGGGATCCTTCACAGTTTGCTGGTCTGGTATGGTGAGATAAGCCTGGGACAGATGGGCCAGCCCTGTTCTTGACCAGAAGAGATCGGCAGGCTTCTGCCTTCAGCATTTGGTCCTTCCAAATGCAACAGGATCAGGTTGGTTATGGTCAGCTTGTTGTTGTTGTTGTTGTTGTTCTGTGCCGTCAAGTCAGCCCCGACTCATAGCGACCCCTCCTTGGGTTTCCGAGGCAGTATCGCTATGGAAGTAGGATTGCCCAACCTTCCTTCCAAGGAGTGGCTGGTGGGTTTGAACCGCCAGCCATCTGGTTAGCAGGCAAGTGTCTTAGCCACTATGCTACCAGAGCTTAGCTGGGTTCAATTTAGGACAGTGTCCTCATTAAGGGTCTGTTCTATACTTGACCAAGCACCACAGGCTGTGGGAGGTAGAAAGGTGGTCACACCTAGACCTGCCTCCAGGAACAAGATACGTGTTCAAGGAGAGAAGCCTTTTACTCAGAAGCCATTATCAATACTGGATAGTATCCTCCAAGTGCCAAATGAGTGGCATGAAGAAAACAAATCTATGGAAACCAGAAAATGGGCAAGGCAAAGTGAGCAGAAGAGGTCTCAAAAGAGGTAGAATTAGAGTTGTGTCCAAGGTTGGGGTAAAGAACTCAGACCAGGGAATAGCATCAGATCAGGAGGTGGAGGTGGAGACAGAGGAGGAGACATAGGGTAAGGCTCATAATTAGCATGTTCTCTGCCTCCCCAGATTTGGCCTTCTCAAGGAGAATGTGGCCTCTAGGGGCCAGCTTTGTAGCTCTTCCCCTCCTGGGGCCCATCCTGGTTTGGCTATTTACCTGTCATCGAATACCTGGTTGGTGTGAGGTCCCAAAGAAGCTATCCTGGTGCCCATCCCACAAAATCTTGTTACTTGTATGGACAACCATCTACTCAATCATGGGGTGAGTGTCCATTTCTCATGCCATAGCCCTAGTACCCACAGGGCGCTGCAATAGGGTACAGTGTCTGCTTCCCTGGGCAGCCTGGCTCACTGCCCTGCCCCTCTGTGGAAACCAGTCTCCCTAAACCTGAACTACTGCTACATATTAGCTTCCAAAGGAATGGCACCCCATCCTGTCTCTTCTAATGGGAAAGGCTTTTTAACTGTGAGGTCTGTAAAACATTCACAGAAAAAAACCTCTGGGCCTCCCTAGGACTCCAGCCAGCCCTCTGCCTCCACCCTCTCCCTCCTAGTCCCTCTCTCCAAGTATCCCCTCCCCCTCCCCTCACCTCACCATGTCCAACTCCTAGCACCAACTCACTGTTGTCCTCAAATGTTGCCAGACCCACTTGCTCCCATTTTATCCACAAGAGTCCTTACACCAGAGCACCTCCTCCATTTGCCATGGCACACCCTCTCTCTGAGTGCTTCTGCTACCGTCTTTCCACAGCTATGCCTCCTACCTGGTGTGGAAAGACCTGGGAGGGGGCTTTGGATGGCCCCTGGCCCTGCCTCTAGGCCTTTATGCTGTACAGCTCGCCATCAGCTGGATCATCCTGATCTTCTTTTTTGTGGTCCACGCCCCTGGTCTGGTAAGGCACCCAGTGTTCAGTAGTGCAAGGTGACTAGGAGGGAAGGTAGAACCACCAGGTCCCCAGAAGCAGATAATATAGCAAATCAATCAGAATCAGGAAGGAAACAGGTGAGCAGACCTCCCTGTGCTCCTGTTGAGTGTGCATAGCCCCAGGAACTTTGCAGGGTACTACAAAAGGGTGGAGGGGCTGGTTCCCTGGGCAGCCTACCTGACTGTCCTGACCCTCTGCCCAGACCCTGTTGCACCTGCTGCTGCTCTATGGGCTGGTGGTGAGCATGGCATTCATCTGGCATCCCATCAACAAGCTGGCAGCCCTGCTCCTGCTGCCCTACCTGGCCTGGCTCACCATGACTGCTTCTATTGCCTACCACCTGTGGAGGGACAGCTTTTGTCCACAGAATCAGCCTCAGCCCCCCCGGGGGAGAAGAACACCTGAGGCACTAGGGCATGGGAGAGGAGGGAGGATGGCCCGGGCAGGGCTGGAAGAGACTATATAGGCAGGGCTGCAGAGTTAGGACAGGAAGAGGGGAGGACAAGGAGATGACTAGGGACTGATGCTTCTCTAACGGTGACTTGTCTCAATGTAGCCACCAACCTGGGTCCCCTGCTGCCACTTTTCATTAGAATTCAGAGAAATGGGAAAGAGGGAGACATTTGTTTTCCATTTTTTACCTGCAAATAATAAAATCCTGTTACTGGCTTTGAGTATGTGATGTGAAGGCAGGTGTGGAACTTTGCAGGGTACTACAAAAGGGTGGAGGGGCTGGTTCCCTGGGCAGCCTACCTGACTGTGGGACAAGGAGCTTCTGTGTGTGTACATGTACACGTGCATTATGGGGAGGCACAGGCACGTTGTCGCCAGCTCCTCTCACGTGTCCTCCTAAACTCAGCATAAAAATTCTGGATGCTAAGTGTGTCTGTGTGTGTGTGTGTGTTAAAAATAAACACACCAAAACAATCGCCAGTACAGTAACTTCCATATTTACAATTCAATGACATTGATTACATTTTTCATGTCATGCCACCATTACTGTTAACCTTTTCCAAAACATTCCACCTTCACTAATATAAACTCAATGCTACCCAAATGAAAACTCCCCCTCCCCCCTCCACCTCTGGTAACCATTAATACTTTTTGGTTACTATGTATTTGTTTATTTCATGTAAGTAAGATAATACAGTATTTGTCTGTATTACTGACTGACTTCACTCAGCATAATGTTTTCAAGGTTTATCCATGCTGAGGATACAGATTTTCAATTACCTGAAAAATAAAATGTTTTTAAAAATCTACCTAAAAGCAAAATAATACTGAAGTAGGATCCAAATTATTTATATCAGATACTATGCTCAGACCTCTGAGAACTAAGATTATAGATCATTTTACATTTTTGTTTTAGTATACTCTTATACTTTCCATTTTTTACATCAATTAATTACTACTAAATAAGAAAAAAAAAATGTTGGGAAAAAAAAAAGACACAAACCTCAGGGCACTGAAGGGTGAATCCGATAGGAATTTCTTGTCCAGACCTCTCTTGTTTCTCTTCCTAAACCTTCTCATTTGCTTTTTTCATTTTTGACTCTTCCCTCCTCTACTTCCTTCTGCTCATATTTTCAAAGTCTTGATGGTACCAAGGAGTGGCTCTGCCCCCAAGTCCTGCCTTCTCAAATCCTAAACAACACCAGCTAGAAGGTTCAGCCACTTTGCAGTAGGGGACTTCCACCCTGCTGCCTGGTAGGGTCACATGGGGAGCTTTGAACAATGTTAATCAGTATCCTCCCTAACACTCCACCACACTCTGGACCAACTGGGGGGGAAAAAAAAATTCTCTTGGAGGAAGGGACCAAAAAAAAAAAAACCAAACTCACTGCCATCAAGTCGATTCGACTCATAGTGACCCTTCCTTGGGTTTCTGAGGCAGTATCTCTATGGAAGTAGAGTGCCCAATCTTCCTTTTAAGGAGTGCCTGGTGGGTTTGAACCGCCAGCCTTCTGGTTAGCAGTCAAATGCCTTAGGCACTATGCCTAACATTTATTTCTTTTTAAACTTCTCAGGTGGTTCTTAAAATCACTTCCATGGCAAACAATAGACATATAGGCATATAGGGTGAACACTTACATCAGGTAGATAACACTCCTAGGAGTTCTGATAGCGTAGTGCCTAAGGCACTTGACTGCTAACCAGAAGGCTGGTGGTTCAAAGCC